GAAATGCAGGACGCTACAAGCTTCTTTGTGCTTGGGCATCAAATAAGTTGTTCTGACCCTTTGTTTCTTCTGCACACCCTGCAGCTGAACATGAACACAGCTGTTTAAGCCCAAAACAGCTGCGGCAGTAAATGGGAGGCTGCAGGGTAATAAAACATTCATTAACAAGTAATAAAGTTCAAACAGACTTACGAGCTGGACTGAGCCTCCGACCTCCAGCAGAGAAGCCACACACACGCGAGGAGGACACACACCTTCATCCTGAAGGTAAGAAGCACACTGAGCTCTGCAGAGAACTGAGCGACACAGCTGGATTTGATTAGTTATTCATTTACTCGGCTATTGGCAAACGGCTGGGGGTCCTCAGTGAAACACAACCGAGGTGGAAGCTCCTGTTTGTTTGTATGCAGAGCTGAGTGTGTAACAAAGGTGAGTTTACTCAGCAGGGGTTTTTGGGTCTTACCTAACACTGTTGACTCTCAGGTTATCAGAACGCAGGCAGTCACCTGTCTGCTGCCGGCCGGGCTCCTCGCGTCGCCAGAAAACATGATCAAAGGTCAACACTAAAGCATTTTGGAGAATTTTAATAAAACAGACCAACTGAGTGAGGTGTTGTTAGCGCCCACTAGAGGGCGCGGTGACCACAACAAGAGCAAACAACGTCTGAAGGCTGAGACTGCTGTGAGACCAGATCTGGGTTTTCTGGTGGTTCTGCTCTTACTGGGCTGCAGACCTCCGAGGCCTTTCTGTCTCTGAGGAGCATCTGCACCACCAGGTGCTGCACCACCAGGTGTTGCACCACCTGGGAATTGGGGCCATCAGAATCCATCTAAACCCGGAGAAACTGCAACCCTTGATGAACATCTTCTACAGTCCTACATTTTGTACCTGGTTTGGGTTGCGGGTCCCTCACAGACTGTCGCTGTCCCGGGTTTGTGTTTGCGTGGAAGTGTTAGTTATTTCTGGAATGAGGTTTGAGATCTTGTGTATTGTTCCTCTGCTCTGCTCGTATCTGTCTCTCCCTCAGCTCAGTCATGTCTGGGCCTCTGTCTCATGTGCACTGAGATTGTCACGGATCTGGGTCATGTTGATCCAGCTTTCTGTTTTTCATGCTTTGGCGTTTTTCTAGATTATGATTTATGATTTGATTTATCAGTGATACTGTTTTGATTATGATTATTATTTAGTAGACTTTGGTCAGTGTCGAGTCTGTCTCTCTCTGTCTAGTCCGTGTCTTAGTAAAGTGTGTTTTGTTTCCTGTTCTACTTTGAAGGTTCTTGTTCCTGTCTGATGTCAGTGTTCCGGCTTTGCTCTCCCTGTCTCGTTAGGTCTTATTTCTCCCAGCTGTGTTCCCCTTCTGTCTCTAATTCCTTGATGACTCCCTCAGTGTATTTAAGCCCAGTGTGTCTTTGTGTCAGTGTCGCGTCGTTAACGTCTGTTCACCCGCACTTGCTGTGTGTTCATGATTTCCAGTCCTCCTGCATCTCAGTTTAGAGTTTTGTTTGCTTTTGTGAGTTTTGTAAAGCTGCATTTTCAGTTGAACCCTCGTTTCCTAAGAGTCCTGCATTTTGGGTCCACCACTCCTGCCTGCCTGCCACACAGCCGACCATGACAGAGATCAGTTTGCTTCCATTATGTTTGTTTGCTCCAGCCGGGCTACGGTTAGGCTGCATTTGGGTCCTCGCTCCACACATCACTAAACACAGTGATGTGTTTAGTCACCTCACAGCGCACTGTTGTCAGTGCTACTGGTTTCAGTCAGTGTCCTGTTTATAAGGTTGGAGGCCTACACTCAGCTGAGACTGAAGTAGACTTGATGTCTTGAGACCACTTTTACGTGGTCTCCGTCTTGTCTCCGTCTTGTCTCGGTCTCGCCGTCTCAGATCGACATAGTGGTCGAGAGATCTGGAGTCAACAGTATCGATGACACACACCGTAACGTTCTATGATGTGTCATTTCAAAAGCGTCAGCTCTAAGAGCCGTGCTTACAGAGCGCTTTGTAGTGAATCAGACTCGACTCCCACTGAGCGAGAGCCGCTCCTCACTTAATTTCCTTTGGCTGCTCAGCTCTCACACAGGGGCTCAGCTATGCTCCAATCCCTCCATATTGTGGCCAATCACATGCGAGGATATAGGATAATATCATTATGTGAAAAACAGAGAGGGTGAGAGTCACGTGGAGCGTGCGTCTGTCCTCTCAGTGAGTGAGACAGTGGACAGCGGTGAGGAGGGCTGTGCATTGCAAAAACACATAATATGCCCGACACCCGTAAACGAAGCAGCATCTGGCTGCAGCTTAAAGACTTTTTGGTCTCGGTCTTGACGACAAGTCTAGATTGAAGAAGTCACCTGATGATGATGAAACGTTTCTCCCACTGAAACATCCAGATGAACACAGACACGTCCTGACTCCAGTACATGCCCACCAGCTAAACTATGCTGCACAGGGAACTGGTCCTTCCTCTGACTCCTATCCCAGCATCTCCCTGTGTCGCACCAACACTAAGCGTCCTTCACAAACATCTGTTAGTCCCCCGTGACAGTCGTCTCCACCCACTCCACCCTGTCTGCACTGTCATCTTCACCTCTACACAACAGCAGTTTCATTAAAGACAACAAAAAAATTAAAAATCTCTAGCAGTGAAAAGAGGAAATAATCAAAAACCATCGGTGTCACTGACCACTTTGTAATTGTCAGTAAACAAACTTCATGCAGTGTCTGACCTTTTCCTTGTTAAAGCAGCCCAGCCAGTCTCCAACCTTCCCTTCATCACAAACGTTCTTCAAAGAGCTGCAGCTCAGGAGGTCAATCGGGTCATCTACTTATTGGACGTTGGTGGTTCGATCTGGCTGCTCCAGTCTTGGGCAAGACACTACATTCCCAGTTGATGCCATTGTGTGTGTGTGTGTGTGTGTGTGTGTGTGTGTGTGTGTGTGTGTGTGTGT